CTGCTGTAGATTTTACTCACATCCTGAGTCATAAATGCGGCCACTTTTACAGGATTTTTTGGGGAAGTATCTCTCAGAGGAGGAGCTGTGAGAACCCTGTGACTTTCAAACCTTCATACATTATGCAACACAATGATATTTTACAATTGCAAAACAAAATAAAATATCTTGAGCAAGTAGGAATAGTTTGGTATTTATTCTCTACTTCCTCTTTCTAAACTTACTAATCTTTTCCCATATCAAGTCTGACTTTCTCATTTTTGTTTTCTGCTTTCAAAGAAAATTATCACTATTTATTTTTGCCAAGTTATTTGATGAAAACTATCTGTTATTATAATCATAACTAGTTATTCACATCAAGATATTTTTCACATCAAGTTTTGCTGTGTGCAGAAGATTTTATGTTCTATGTCCTGTGTGCATATTTTCAAAGAATGTTGATATGTGCATAGCATAATGGAAAGGCCATAATGTCTGTGGAAGGGAGCTCTGAGGTTTAATGTTAGCATGGTCACTTACAGAGTCAATGTTGGCAAAACATGACCTCTTGGTTTCAGTTAAAGGAGAGTGAGAAGTATTATCAGTGCCAAATATAACAAACCATGTAAACTTAAAAACTCAGTGGCATTGAGGCAGTTCCAACTCATAGACACATGATAGGACGAGTAGAATGCCCTTTTTGGTTTCTGGGATCCTGTAATTCTTTTTTTTAATAATCATTTTATTGGGGCCTTGTACAACTCTTATCACATCCATCCATTCTCTCAAGCACATTTGTACATTTGTTTCCCTCATCATTCTCAAAACATTAATTTGCTTTCTGTTTGAGCCCTTGGTATCAGCTCCTCATTTTCCCCCTCCCTTCCCACTCCCCTCTCCCTCATGAACCCTTCATAATTTATAAATTATTATTTTGTCATATCTTACACTGTCCGACGTCTCCCTTCACCCACTTTTCTATTGTCTATCCCGCAGGGAGGAGGTTATATGTAGATCCTTGTAATTGGTTCCCCCTTTCCACTCCACCCTCCCTCTACCCTCCTGGTATCGCCACTCTCAGCACTGGTCCTGAAGGGATCATCTGCCCTGGATTCCCTGTGTTTCCAGTTCCTATCTGTATCAGTATACATCCTCTGGTCTAGCCTGATTTGGGATCATGATAGTGGGGTGGGGGTGAGTGGGAGAGGAAGCATTTAGGAACTAGAGGAAAGTTATATGTTTCATCGTTGCCACATTGCACCCTGACTGGCTCATCTCCTCCCCATTACCCTTCTGTAATGGGTTGTCCAGTTGCCTACAGATGGGTTTTGGGTCCCCACTCCGCACTCCCCCTCACTATTACTGGATATCACTGGACTATTAAATCTATTATTCCAAGTTTTAAAAATACTTTTATCATTAATTAGGTGAAGTTTTAGAGAAAAAAATCAAGTTTTCATTCAACAATCCATATATATTTTGTTTCATGTCATGGATTGCGATACCTACAATGTAATAAAACCCATCCTACCTGCTCCTTTCTCCATTCTTCTTTTTCTAACCATTCTGAACTTCGTCCTTGGGTCAATGCTGCCTTTTTTATTTTATAAGCTTCATTAGTCTAGGAGAGGTGTACTTCTCTGTTGTTTACCTCTCTGTCTGCTGTTTGGCTGAAAATTGAGACACTGAGGTGAGTGTATTGTGAGACCTGAAAATAACTGAAGGACATAGTCTTGTTGGTTCCACCAGTACCTATCAAACCAGTAAACTTGCTCCCTTTTGTTTTATTATGCATTTTGGTTTTGTTCCACATTTTTCTTCCATTCCACCAAAGACTTTCTAATATAATCCCTTTGAAAGCACTTGGTAGTGATAGCAGGGCACCATCTAGTTCTTCCTGTCTAAGAGTCATGGAGACTGATGTTTTCCTGGTCCATTAGTCAATTGGACTATTGCTGTGCCTCTTTGATTTTCCTTAAGACAAGAAGAGAACAGTCGATCTTAGATGGTGGCTCACAAGCTTTTCAGACCTCAGTTACTACTCACCAAAGCAGGATGTATAACATTACCTTTCTAGAGAATGTTCTGCCATTAAAGCTTGGTGTCCTTCAAGACTATGATCCCGAGCCACAAGCCCAGCAACTCCTTCCCCAAAGTGTTTGATCATGCCTAAAAAGTTTCATAAAACTGCCTCCTGCATACTCCAGCATATTCATGAATATATTCACAGCACAGATACACATGCCCTTGTCAAACCAATATATAACCCTAGGTATATCCCCATCTCCCTCCCACATCTATTCCATATACGTTTCTATCCATGCATCTACTCGTTCTACTCTTGCCTGTTAGCATCAAATCAATTTCAACTCATAGTGAGCTTCCAGGTCAGAATAGAACTGCTCCCTAGGTTTCTGAGGCAGTAAGTCCTTATGGGAGCAGGAAGGCTCGACTTTGTCCCACAGAGTGGCTGGTGTGTTGGAACTGCAGACCTAGTGGTTAGGAGACCAATAGGAAAATAACTAAACCACCAAGGCTCCTTGCATTTTCTCAGGATTATTGCAGGATTGTGTGTATAATAGCATTTACTTATTACTCTGTTGTCTTTAACTCTTGCACTCTTCTCAATATCTTCCTCTGCCAGTATCATTCTTTGCCAACTTCCCTCTTATTATATATTGTCATCCTCTTCATCCAAGTTAATGTGTGCCTGCCTTCCAGCCATGAACTTACTCTCCTTTCTCTTCCCACCCCTGGTGATCATCAAAGAATCTTTCTTTCAGTATTAAAACCTTTTCTTGAATTTTTATAATAGTGATCTCATAAAATATGTGTCCTTTTGGACTGACAGCTTCATTCAGCATAATGCCCCCCAAGTTTACTCATGCTATGAGACGTTTTGCAGTTTCATCATTATTCTTTAATGTTACACAGATTCCATTGTGTATATATACCATAGCTTACTTGTCCAATTTTCAATTGATTTACAAATTCATGTTGTTTCCAACTTTTTGATATTGTGAACAGTGCTGCAATGAATTTAAGTGTGTATATATCTATTCAAAGCACAATTCTTATTTCTCTAGGATATAGAGCACATAGAGAGATTGTTGGGTCATATGGTATTTTTATATCTAACGTTTTGAGAAAGCACCGTGCCATTTTCCTCAGTGCTTGCACCAAATTGCAAGCCCACAAGCAGTGTATGAGGGTTCCGGTTTCTCCATACCTTTGCTAGCATTTGATATTTTCTGTTTGTTTTGTTAATTGAATGCTCCTAATACTGGGGTGAGGTGATATCTTATTAACATTTTTATTCTAATCTCTAGAATATCTAATGATTGTCAGTATTTCTCCATATGTTTGAAGGTTATTTGAAGGTCTTTGGTGGACTGTCGGTTCATGCCTACATGTTAAATGTTGAGCGTGCATGACCTATTTCTCCTCCTCTGTCCTTGGTTTAAAAAATAATACTCTAAAAGCTGACCGGCCTGTTGATACTTTTGGGGGGTATAAAATTGGATCCAGTCTTCCTGAATATTCTTGAATTTCTAGGGAGATGGCATGTTGTCGTGGCTAGGTGCTGAGTTGGTTCCAACTGATAGCAACTCTATGTACAACAGAATGGAATACTGCCCAGTCCTGTGCCATCCTCACAATGGTTTCTATGTTTGGACCCATTATGGTAGCCACTGTGTTAATCCATCTTACGAAGGACCTTCGTCTTTTTTGCTGCTCCTCTGCTTTATGGAGCATTTCCCCCTTCTCCGGGGACTGATCTCTCCAGACATATAAGATGAAGTGTCGCCATCCTTGTTTCTAAGGACCATTCCTAAGGACCATTCTGGCTGTAGTTCATCCAAGACAGATTTGTTTGTTCTTTTAGTAGCCCGTGGTACTTTCCAGATTCTTCACCAGCACCACAAATCAAATGTGTTGGTTCTTTTTCGATCTTCCTTATCCAGGGTCTAACTTTCACATGCACATGAGGTGATTGAAAAGATTGTGTCTTGGGTCAGGTACATCTTAGCCCTTAGAGCAATTGCTCTGCTTTTCAACACTCTAAATAGGTGTTGTGCAGCAGGTTAACCTAATGCAATGCATCATTTTGCCTCTTGACCATTGCTTCTATGAGCATTGACTGTGGATCCAAGCAACACTGGACAACTTTAATTTTCCTTGATTTATCATAATATTGGTCCAATTGTGAGCATTTTTTTTTACGTTGAGTCATAATCCATCCTGAAGAGTTCATGGAATCTCCATGGCACGGTTCTTCTATCTTCATCAGCAAGTGCTTCATGTTCTCCTCACTTTCAGCAAGCAAGTCAATGTCACCTACTTGTTAATAAACCATTTTCCAATCCTGATGTCAGCTTTTTCTTTAGATAATCAAGCTTCTCAGATTATTTGCTCAGTATACAGATAGAATAAATATGGTGAAAGGATACAACCCTAATGCACACCTTTCCTGATTTTAAATAATACAACATCCCCTTCTCTATTCACATAACTGCCTCAATACATATACAGGTTTTCCATGACCACAATGAAGTATTCTGGAATTCCCATGCTTCTCAAGTTCCCCACAGTTTTTTAAAAAATGATTTACACAGTTGAATACTTGGCATAGTCAATGAAATATAAGTAAATATCTTTCTGGTATTCTCTACTTTCAGCCACATGCCAATCTGACATCAGCAATGAAATCCCTTATTTCACATCCTAGTTTGAATCCAACCTGAGCCACTGGTTAGTGTACTGATGCAACCATTGCTGAATGATCTTCATTTTACTTGTATGTGACATCAATGGTATTTTTCTATAATTTGAGCAGTTTGCTGAGTCACATTTCCTTGGAATGGGTACAAATATGGATCTCTTCCAATCAGTTGTCCAAGTAGTTGTCTTCCAGATTTCCCAGCATAGATCAATAAGTGCTTCCAGTGATTCATCAGCTGTTTGAAACATTGCAATCGATACTCCAGTACTTCCTGAAAACTTGTCTTTGGCTAATGTCTTCAATGCACCTTGAACTTCTTCATTCAGTATCAGTAGTTCATGCTCATATGGTACCTCTTGCCTTAGTGGAATACCAACTAGTTCTTTTTGGTACAATGACTCTGTGTGCTCTTTTAATCTTCTTTTGATGCACCCTGCATCACTCAATATTTTGCCTATAGAATCTTTAAATATTGAACTTAAGGATGAAATTAAAAAAAAACATTTTAAAATCATTTTATTGGGGGCTCATACAGCTCTTATACATCTATTTCCTCAAGCACATTTGTACATTTGTTGCCATCATCATGTTCAAAACATTTTCTTTGTACTTGAACCCTTGGTATCAGCTCCTCATTTTTTCCCATCCTTCCCTCCCCCACCCTCCGTCCCTCATGGACCCTTGTAATGTATAAATTATTATTATTTTTTCTTGTCTTACACTGAAAGATGTCTCCATTGACCCACTTTTCTGTCGTCTGTCCCCCTGGGAAGGGATTATATGTAGATCATTGTAATCATTTTCCCTTTTCTTTCCCTAGCTTTGCCTTACCCTCCTGTTATTGCTATCTGTCCTGGATTCCCTGTGTTTCCAGCTCTTATCTGTACCTGTGTACATGCTCTAGTCTAGCCAGATTTGTAAGGTAGAGTTGGGGTCATGATACTGGGTGGGAGGAGGCATTAAAGAACTAGAGGAAAGTTGTATGTTTAATCGGTGCTATACTGCACCCTGACTGGCTTGTCTCCTCCTTGTGACCCTTCTGTAAGTGGATGGCCAATTGCCTACAGAAGGGCTTTGGGGCTCTACTCCACATTCTCCCTCATTCACATTGATATCTTCTTTTTGTTTTGAGTCTTTGATACCTGATACGTGATCCCTTTGACACCTCTTGATCACACAGCCTGGTGTGTTTCTTCCATGTGGACTTTGTTGCTTCTCAGCTAGGTGGCTGCTTGTTTATCTTCAAGCCTTTATGACTCCAGATGCTCTATCTATTCATAGACCAGCACCATCAGCTTTCTTCACCACATTTGCGTATGCACCCATTTTGTCTTCAGCTATCGTGTTGGGAAGCTAAGCATCATGGAATGCCAGGTTATTAGAACAAAGTGTTCTTGTGCTGAGGGAGGACTTGAATAGAGGCCCAATGTCCATCTGCTACCTTGATACTTAACATATAAATATATGTACATAGATATATTTCTCTATAATTATATATAAATATATTTACATATGTACATACCTGTATTTAGACATCTGTAAGGGCCCCTTGCTTCCTAGTTCTTTACTCTATTTTCTTTTACTTTCCACTTGTCGCACTATCATGTTTGGCCTTCAGAGAATAAAATTTTTATTGCATTCTTTCAGTTTAAGATATGCTGAGTATGTTCTTGGTTTTCTAATTCTATGTCTTTGCAGATTTCATTGTAACATTTTACTTTATCTTCTTGAACTACCCTTTGAAATTTCCTGTCTACTTCATTGACTTCATCATTTCTTGCATGTCCCTTACCTACTCTATGATTAAGTGCTAGTTTCAGAGTCTCTTCTGACATACACTTTGTATGATATTCTTGATATCCCCAGATTGTCTGTTATTAGTGCTCAATACATCAAATATATTTTGTGATATTCTTGAAATGCAGGCAGGATAGGCTTCAGGTGGTAACTTGGCTCTTGTGGACAGATAAGCAGTGGATGATCTGCTGCTGCACAGTCAGTCCCTGACCTGGTTTTAGATGCTGACATTGAACATCTCCATCGCCTCTTCCTAAAGATATAGTCAATTTGATTTCTATGTTTTCCATCTGGAGAAGCCCATGTGTACAGTTACCTTCTGTGTTTTTGAAAAAAAGTATTTGCTATGAACAAGTTGTTGGTTTGAAAAATTCTGTGTCCAGGCCCTGTTTTCCAACTGCTGTTCCTTCCTCCTTGTTTCCAATTTTTGCATTATAATCTCCAATAATTACCAATGCATCTTGATTACATTTGATCAATTTCACACCGAAGCTGTTAGGAGAATCCTTCAATATCTTCATCACTGGCATATCATTATGTTGAATTTGATAGGATTATATCTATCCTAATTCTAGGAAAACCAATCAATACAATTATTATTCTTATTCATGCACCAACCACTGAAGCTTTCAGAGACAGGCTGGATTTAGAAGAGGACATGGATCAGTGGATGACGTTGCTGAAAGCACTTGATACCCGAAAGATATTTACTACTTGTGTTTTATCAACTCTGCCAAGTTAGTCAACTATGTGGCTAATAGCAAGAGAGTCTTGTGAAGAATGGGAACACCAGAACATTTTATTGTGTTCATGTGAAATTTGTACATGGACCAAGATACACTTGTGAGTATAGAGCAATGGAGACATCATAGTTTAAAATCAGGAATGGTATGTGTGAGAGGGTTGCACCCATCCCATTTTCCATTGTGATTTCATGTGTTTGCAGTCTCACTAGCTGTGTAGGAGGGTTCTAATCTAGCCAGCAAATGATATACACTGGCTGTTCAGTGTCCTGTACTTGAAATGCTTTTGCCAAACTGGGGCACTGGAAGAGTGCTTTCTATGAATGTCAAGTCTCATCATTGGATCTCAGTTTAAATATCATATTTTAAGAGGCCATGTATAATTATCCCCAGTAACATTCTGTCTATTTTCTGCCACTGGACTCTACTTGTTGTTTGAAATGGCACTTATTACAGACTATAATTACTTTAATAACTAATGTCCTTACTTATTTCCAAGCTGTAGTACAAGGCTATAAGGTCAGTGCTGGAATATATTTTTCCTGTTTTTTTGGTTGTTGTTAATTATTTTATCTTCAGTTTATAGTGTAATAACTGGAACAAAATATATGCTCAATAAATTTAAAAAGTTGAAATAGGATTTTCAGTTGGTTATTGCTTCTACACTGGAAGAAAAACATTTAACAATATTTAAATACACAACACATTTAGTATTTAATAAAAGAGAAAGAAAAACTGGCTATGTCAAAGTGGGGATAAAAGTAATTAAATTTATATTTACTGGAAAAAAGTAATTGGAGTAAGAGTTTATACTTCAGTGAAAATAATCTGATGATGATTCTGAAACTAGTTTTCTTTACCTTGTTATAAGTTCTAACGCTACTTATTTGATTGACCTAAAAGCACTTTTACATATCAATATTCTTTCAAAGTGTTGGTGAAAATCCAAGTGAATTTAATTAAGCAGGTGTTGGACACATTCCAATGACAGAGCTCACTGATAAGCCTTGCAGTTAAAGAGGATAAAATGCCCAATGATTCTTGCCCCTGTCGGGTAGAAGACACTATCCTTTTATGGACTTATTCATCTATTTTACGAGATTCTTGGATAGCCTTGAAGCATGATAGGAAACAGGCATAAGAATGCTAGTTTGAAATTTCAAGCTCAATTAGCTTGTGCCTTATCAACTTTCTCACAACTAGTGTAATTTTATCAACACATTGGGGGGAGGACAAAAATTCTAGATGGCAACTTTTCTCTTTTGATGTGTTGTCACTTTTTCATGGAGACATAGGATTTGTTTGCCTCTTCGAAAAATTGTCCCAGCAATGGAAACTTTTAATTTTCCTATTTGCATCATTGAGTTCATTTACAATAGATCTTAATGCAAGTAATACTACTTTTGGGGGGCATATTTAGAAGAACCTGTGACAAAAATGGACAGGCTTAGCTATAGGAAATCAAATTTATTCTGAAGGAAGTATTCAGCTTTCGGCTGTCTCTGGTCATTCTGTATTGGAAGAGAGATTTCCATATCGGTCAGTTAAAAAGCCCTCAGATTGTGAACAAGGCTCCAAAGGTAAGACTAACAGATAAGAGTGGAAACCAGGGTTTGCAACTACATGGCTTTGTTTATTCTTTGGTAAATAATATGGTTTGAGTTATACAAATTTCGTAAGTTCAAGAAACTGTTGTTGGCAGCAACAAGGCATTTGAATCAATCCAATTCAAATTCTAATCCATTTCTGCTGTCTAAAAACATGTGGATTTGAGAAAATGAAATGTAAGACTTCTGAAATGTCTATTAGGTAGTTAAAATATTAGCTAGAAAGTTGGAGAGAGTAAGGGAATGAAGACACAAAATTAGGGTGTTTTAGTTTTTATTCATCATAAAACGGAGGAGAGTCTCACCAAAGACACCAGGAAGTAAGTTTCAGTGGTCAGTGGTAAATCTATGCTAGTCACCTTTCGTCTATAACCCTCCTTTCATAAATTGTTCTATCAACTTTGATTATTTACATTATTTTAGGTGGGTGTTGTTAAAGAACCCAAAGGTTGGAAGATTGTACTAACTAGTTGATCTATAGAAGAAATATGTGGCAGTCAGTTTTTGTAAAGAATTACAGTATGGAGCAGCCTTTGGGACAGTTCTGTTCTTTCCTACAGGGTCACCATGAGTTGAAATGGAGTTAATGGCAGTGGGTGTAGGTGCTTGTCAAGTGTTTCTTTTTCTGTCACCTTTTCTTTTTCTGTCTTCTTTTCTTTAAACCTTAGCTAAAGCATTTCTTTCCCTGGGAAGCCCTTCCTGATCCCACATTGATTTAAACGTGTCTACACAATACAACCTTAGGATCCTGAAAATTTAATTGTAATGATACTTATTGCATTGGTCTGTGATCATCTGACCACGTCACCATATATCATATCAGAAGGGTGAGGAACTTTGTCTCATATCTCAATATCAGTGAACAAACTCAAACTGAACTCACTGCCAATGAGTCAATACAGGCTCACAGCAATCTTGTAACACAGGGTAGAACTGCTCATATGGGCTTCTGCAGCTGTAATTATTCGTGGGAGAGGAACCTCTCTAACAGAGCAGCTGATGGTTTTGAACTACTAACCTTGCAGTTAATAGCTGAACTATGCCATTAGGGCCTGACATGAATAGACGCACCTAGCACATTTTGTGAGAATGGCACAGGATCGGGCAATGTTTCTGCTATTCGTTAGGAGTCTGAAGAAATTTAACAGTACCTAACAACAACAACAACAACAACAACAACACACATTTAATTAAATGAAAAAAATGATAATACATGAAAAATGTCTTGTTTTGTAGGTAATATCTGGAGTGAGCAGCTATAAAAGAATAGATGGAAACGAGAAATAATGTGACTCATTTTGTCCTCCTGGGACTCACTCAGAATCCGAAGGAACAGAAAGTTCTTTTCGTTCTCTTCTTGCTCTTCTACATTTTGACCATGGTTGGCAACCTGCTCATTGTTGTAACTGTCACTTTCAGTAAGGCCCTGGACACACCCATGTACTTCTTTCTTGGAAGCTTGTCATTTATGGATGTTATTTATTCATCATCCATCTCACCTAAGTTGATAGCAGACTTGTTCTTTGGGAAAACGACCATATCCTTCCAATCCTGCATGATTCAGCTCTTTACAGAACACTTCTTTGGTGGCTCAGAGGTTTTTCTTCTATTGGTGATGGCCTATGACCGCTATGTGGCTATCTGTAAGCCCTTGCATTATTTGGTTATAATGAGGCAATGGGTGTGTGTTGTGCTGCTGATAGTGTCTTGGGTTGGAGGGTTTCTTCACTCAGTCATTCAACTTAGCTCTCTCTATGGACTCCCATTCTGTGGCCCCAATATCATAGATCATTTTTTCTGTGACATGTACCCCCTGTTGAAACTTGTCTGTACTGACACTTATGTCATTGGCTTCTTAGTTGCAGCTAACGGAGGAGTCATATGCACTATTGTGTTTCTGCTCTTACTCATTTCTTATGGTGTGATCTTGCGCTCCCTAAAGAACCTGAGTCAGGAAGGGAGGAGGAAAGCTCTCTCTACTTGTGGCTCCCACATCACTGTGGTGGTCTTCTTCTTTGTCCCCTGCATTTTCATGTACGCAAGACCTGCAAGGACTTTCCCCATTGACAAATCACTGAGTGTGTTTTATACAGTCATAACTCCTATGCTGAACCCTCTAATCTACACGCTGAGAAACTCCGAGATGACAAATGCTATGCAGAAGCTCTGGGGTAAGAAATGACTTCAAATGAGAAATGCAACAACACAAAGTGGCTTCATTCTTTACATGGAGATGAAAAGAAGACCTTTGCTTGTGGTTTCAAAGTCAACTGAACATATACGTCAAAAGCATCGAGACGCTCACATGTATGTATTTTGAGAGAAAGCCCAGGCAGAAAATGAATGCTGACTATAAGAATATTTCACCAAGCTTTTTGTATTGTACATTTGATTTTCAATCTATACCATATTGTCTGAATAAGGACTTTTGATCTATACCATATTGCCTAAATGAGGATCTATACCAAATTGTCTGAATTTTCCAATTGCAAAGCAAATAAGCAGTAGTCTAGGTATTTAGGGATATTGGGGGTATTTATTTTCACTTCCTCTTTCTGAACTTGGTAATCATCTGCCAGATTAGGTCTGGCTTGTTCTTTTCCATTTTTTCCCAGCCTCCTAAAAGAAATGCCTATCATTCTTTCTTGGTGAGTTTTTGAACTGAACTTATTTATCTTAACTAGGTATTCGCAGAGAGGCACATTTTCATTGTTCTGCTCATGTAAAAGCTTTTAAGTGTTATTTCTTTTTGCATTTGAATAATTTAGAGGAATGGTTAAAAGCACTAGTTTGTCACTTACAGTTTGAAATGGACAAAACACAACCTCATGTAGCTGCAGTTAAAGGGTAACGACAGAATTAAAGCCAGGATGAATAAAATACTCTTCATAAAGCTTTTCATCTGAACTAATTGTTCAATAAAGCTGAACTATTATAAATATTATTTGTTATGTGAGTCTCTGAAGTCATACTAAAACTACTCAAAAGGCTCCATTTCCCCCAAATATAGAAGCAAGGATCCATAATCCCCCTGCCAGTCCTATGATGAACACTCTGAAAGAGTACTGTACTGTCTTGGTCAGAGGTCTATGGGGGGTCTGCAATTGGATCCCACCTCCTCAACTATTTCTTAATCTTGCTTTCCTGATTTTCGGATTTCCATTTTTGTGTGTGCCTTTAAGGGCTTGTAGTTCGTACACCTATATGTTTCATATTCTTTTGACAAGTTTGCTATGAACCTGAAGCCAACACAGGAGCCAGACTATAAACATACTAACAACAAAGGGATATATTTCTTCTGAGCGTGTGTTTCAGTGATTAAGAGCAGGTTCTGGTTTGAATGTGATCTGGGAAAGTTATCCAACCCTTTCACGTCACATTCTCTTCATCTATAAAATGGTTGATAATAGTAACTAGCTCATAATATTGATGGGATCAATTAAATGCATGACTGTAGGTAAATCATTTATAATTCTGCCTGACCCATAGTAAACACTGTGGAAGTGTTCTTTCAAAAAGGGAAAAAATATTGCTGGACCACTTCCTCTTTGGGGAAGACTTTGACTGGCATCTTTTCTAGACTCAGCAGCATCCTCATTTTGTCTGGGTCAGAACCCTGTCCCCAGTGCCTTAAGCTGAAAAAGGTCCCTTGTATGACTATGCAGCTTATTTGTTTATTTATTTATCTATCAATTCATTTATTTACAGTTGCTTATTGAGATTTAGAGTCCTTATTCGGCTCTATCAGTCTTAAACGTCAGCATTTTGGATGATGTCCTAGAATTTGGAGCGCTGGAGTCAACCAAGGTATGATTGATTGCCAGTTTACTAGGAATGTAAGGTAACGTTCTGAAGGTGCAATGGGTTAATGGTCAGCTGCTAACCTAAAGGTCTGCAGTTCAAGCCCACTCTGTGGAGCTCTGTAAGAGTTAAAAGACTTGGTGATCTGCTCCCATAAAGACTAAAGAAAAAACAAACCATTCTGAGAAATTCAGAGATTTAAAAAAATGCTATGAAAATATTTTGGAAAAGAGTAAGTATCTCACTGCCATTGAGTCATTGTCAATTCAGAGCAACACTTAGACGGCAGGGTAAAATTGCCCCTGGGAGTTTCCAAGACTCTTCATCAGAGTAGAAAGCCTTGTTTTAATCTCTCAGAGTGGCTGGCGGTTTTGAAATGCTGACCTTGCAGTTAGTAGCCCAACACATAGCCACCATGCCTTACGAGTAAGTATATTAGGTTGTAAATAAATGTCTCATCCACCACAAAGTCATTTGGCTTTATGGCACATCTCCTTCTTTGGGTCTCGGAAACCTTGAATCTGGTATATTTTCTCTTTCCTTGAAAACATTTATTTATTAAGCCTATAATTAAATAATTAACTATATGATTGGATTGTTAATCATTGTATCTTGTAGGACATAAGCTCTAAAATATCTTGCTTATCACTGCATCTAGAAGAATTTAATGCAGAAGAATAGGGGGTCAATAAATAAAGTGCAATGAAATAAATGAGATTTTTATATAGTCACACTGATTTTAAAAAATATATAAACATAATATGTATTAATTTATTACTAAACTTGTTTTTATTTAGTAGAAAAAGTATTGTCATTTATGTCCATTCTCTTTATCATAAAAGCTAAAATATTTATTGCTACATAGGTTACCATCTTTTAAAAAAATCTTTTTATTGGGGGTTCTTATAGCTCTTCTAACAGTCCATACATGCATTATGTCAAGCACATTTGTACATTTGTTGCCATCATCCTTTCAAAACTTTTCTTTCTACTTGAGGCCTTGGTAATGGCTCCTCGTTTTTCCCTTCCCCCTCCTACACTCATGAATTCTTGATAAATAATTATTATTTTCATATCTTACACCATCTGCTGTCTCCCTTCACACATGCTTCTGTTGTTCGTCACTCTGGATGGGGGTGAGTTATAGGTTGATCATTGCAATCAGTTCCCTCTTTCTCTCCGCACTTTCCCCCTACCTTCATGGTATCCTTACTCCCATTATTGTTCCTGAGGGGGCGTCTATCTGTCCTGGATTCAGTGTGTTGAGAGCTCTTATATGAACCAGTGTACATGCTCTGGTCTAGCTGGATTTGTAAGGTAGAACTGGGGCCATGAAGTGGGGGGAGGGGGAAGCATTAAAGAACTAGAGGAATGTTGCATATTTCGTTGATGCTATGCTGCATCGTGGCTGGCTCATCCCTTCTTTGTTCCCTTCTGTGAGGGGATGTCTAAGTATCTACAGATGGGCTTTGGGTCTCCACTCCATTCCCCCTCATTAGCCTCTATATGATTGTTCGTTTTGGGTCTTCTGATGCCTGATACCTGATCCTGTTGACACCTCATGATCACACAGGCTGATGCGCTTCTTCCATGCGGGCTTTGTTGCTTCCCAGGTAGATGGCCGCTTGTTTATCTTCAACCCTTTTAAGACCCCATCTTAATTCAGTTTCTGTCCCATCACATGGAATTTGAACACACGTAATATTTTTTAATTCAAAACAATGAAAAAAAGAAACTAAATGGAAATCACACAAAACAGTACAAAGTAAAAAACACATCTCCTATCCATCTCTTATGGTAGTTTCCTAGTGCTCCACCCAAGAATCCAACATTGTACCCAGTTTCTTAATATTATTCAAGAAATTATGTTTAGAAGATAGAATCATATTTCTATGTAAATATGTGTATTTGTATTTGTGGAAAATATGCTTTTTACTACTCGACTTTTTGCAGATATTTCCAGTACATACACATAACTCATTTTCAGTTTTCTTCCTCTCTATAAGACAGTGATGTGCGTAAGGTTGGTGCCTTCCAGTGCAATAACTCATAGTGTCACTTCTCTATGGATCTCCTCTCGTACCAGATCATTCAGTCTTTAGTAAACTACGCTTTTGTAAAAACTATTTAATTGCCATATGTATTTTTAAGCAACATTCATTTGCTAACCAATTTAACTATGGTAATCTGTGATAAATATAGCTACAAATGGTTTCAGTGTACTATTTCTTACACTATGTAAGTACTAAGAAAAACCAGTTTTCTAAATTCTTCCTCATTGATTTACAACATTTTTAATTATAACAATATTAGTAACTGAGTAGAGGATTCTTTTAACTATTCTATTTATTTCCTTTCATTCCCAATTCATTCTCTAAAGAAGTTGCTATGAGTTAGAAATGACACTGTGACAATCTGTGAGTTTTTCTCATGGAAGTTATTCATATAGATTCACAAATACTATAGGTCCTACATTATTGCTTCTAATGCACCAAAAAATTAGAAAAATCATCCAATATAAAATGAACCACATCAATGAAAACAACAGTATGTGGTTGTAGCAAGTGCAAATGAAATCATGTGACTCAATGTTGTGAGTTAGAACCGCAAAAACATTTTTCATAAGTGCAGCATATATTTACCAATACACTTATAAATCTAAAACGTTATGATAGTTTACTCTTTGAGCCTTCTAATGATCTGGTCTAAGCTGTTCTTATTATCCAACTACATTGACACTTCAAATCATCTGCTGTCACCTGCACTTGCTACAAGCGCACAGTTTTCTCTCATAGTTGAGGTGTTGTAATACTCGCTGATTTTGTCAAATTTTCTGGTGTTTTTGCATCAATATTGTGGTCAGTAATTTTGAAAAACCTATATAATTAAAAAAAAATTTTTGAGAATGAAGAAGAAAGTAAAGGAAAAGAGAGGGAACAATAAAAAAGGCTTCTACTCAGTTACTAATACTAATGTGATTGTCAATTTGTAAATCAATGTAGAAAGATTTTAGAAACCCACTTTCCTTAGTGTTCATATAATCTAAGACATATTGAATTTAAGCAAAATTATATCACATATTGTCATATAATGTGATTAAAACAAAATCATTATTAAAGACTACATATTATCTGTTGTGGGATGAATCCATCCCACTGCTGACACCATGAGAATTAACATAAATAACGATACTTTCTATTAAAAATGGCTTAGGTATAAACTAACTAATATAATGCATAATTTACTTAAAATCAGTGTGATAATTTTATGTCACACAGAAGCAAGATATCTCAAATTGAGTTAGATGTATATGCACTGGGATAGAAAGATTTGCAAGATGTTGAGTAGTAAAAATGCAAATTTTATTCACAGATATAAATA